TACCGCATCGTTCAAGCCGCATGTTTCGCTGAGGATCTTGAGCTGATCAAGCAAGGTCAACCAGTGAAGCCTGGGTCGAAGGTGTATCAGCTTGCACCGTTTCTGGATGAGCATGGAGTGCTCAGAGCCGGGGGACGACTTCAGCACAGCGAGTTGGCGTATGGAGCCAAGCACCCAGTCCTGTTAGGCAAACATCATCTGACCGAGTTGCTGTTGGAGAAAATGTATGTGGAAAGGATGCACCAAGGTGTAGAAGGAGTCTTGTCGTTCATCCGTAAGAAATTTTGGATTATCGGTGGTCGACGGGCGCTACGCAACATTACTCAGCGATGTGTTACATGCCGCCGCTACAAGGCTAAGGCTGCCTCAGAAGTCTGCCCGCCGCTGCCGGAAGACCGAGTTGTTCACGAGAAGCCGTTCGCAACTACCGGCATCGACTATGCTGGTCCGTTTTACGTGCGCCGTGGTGAGTCATCTCCGAAGGTATGGATAGCATTGTCTGTGTGTGCCACCACCAGAGCAGTTCACTTGGAGGTGGTCGATAGTTTAAGTACTGAGTCATTCTTGATAGCATTTCGGAAGTTTGTCGCGAGACGTAGTTTGCCGTCTCGGATCAGTTCTGACAACGCCACAACGTTCAAGGCGGCATCTGACAAACTGAGGGTGCCATGGATGTTCAATCCTCCAGCTGCACCATGGCATGGAGGCTTCTATGAGAGAATGGTTGGTACAGTGAAGAGTGCCTTGAAAAAGGTAATGGGAACAGCGTTTCTGAAGGTCCAGGAGCTTGAGACCCTCTTGTATGAGGTTGAAGCAGTGGTGAATAGTCGTCCGCTAACTTATGTGTCTGATAGCCTGGATGAGCCACCAGTTACCCCTGCAATGATGATGGGTGACATCTGGATGTCGTCAGAGAAGCCAGCAGGTACCCTGGACGCTGCGCAGATGTCATCGAGATTGCGTTACCTCAGTCGGACACTGGAGCATGTCAAGAATCGTTGGGAGGTGGAGTACCTAAGTCAGCTGAACAAACACCAACAGACCATGTCGCGCCCTTTAGCTGTGGGTGATGTTGTCTTTGTTCTCGATGATACCAAGCGCAAACAGTTCTGGCGTTTGGGACGGATCATCGAGTTATTCCCTGGTCGAGATGGTAAGCGTCGTGTTGCCAAGGTTAAGTTGAGTACCAGTACCCTGTTGAGGCCGATCCAAAGGTTAGTGCCGTTAGAAGTATCGTCGCAGGACGTGGCTCCTGGGCTTGCAGATACCGCTCAACCTGCTATCGTCCCTCAGCAGCCAGCGTATGAACCGTCAGCACCGTTACCACCACCACGGCAGCAGGAGATGACGCGTTCTGGGCGCGTAGTCAGAGCCCCGGATCGTTTTTGACTTGTGTGCATTGTTGTACGGCGGTGAGAAGCCCTTTGGTGGGGAGAATGTTGCAAACCACCAGTTCTCAATTGGGAAAGGCCTTCGCGCTTATGGCGTTGTATTCGTCGCAATGTTGTCTTTCGACTCCGCCGTACCGCTGATGTTGCTGCATGGCATACGCTATATGCGCTGTGTGTGTTTTGCTGTATACGCTGTTATATCCAGTTTTATATGCTTATGTTTTGCATGTACGCTGTTTTTGCATGCTATAAATAGCTGGTGTTATTAGTGTTCATTGTTAATTATCAAATGAAGTGAAATATACTGTGTAAAGGAAAACAGTTGTCCTCGTGCCGCGTGGTCGTACGATCCTGACAATTTAGAAAATCTTAGAGGGTTCATTACATTATTAATAACAAACCAATCACACAGGATCCGAAACCATTTGGACCGGACAGGTGTCCCGTGGTACTCCGCTTACCCTGGGTGGGTGCTGGTTCTGCGCGCGTCGAGAAGGAGGTGCGCAACATTGTCTGTTCGTCTTACCCGTGCGTGAAATTGTATTTAGTATTTGGAACGGCGCGTGCGTTCAGTGTGAAGAAGGACGTTCTACCTACCCTTAGTAGAAGCAACCTTATCTATTTTTCTCAGTGCCGAGAATGTGAAGATCGGTACGTAGGTAGAACCCTTCAACACCTGGGCGCACGCATCCGTCAACATGTGCCGTTAGGTCTTGTCCCTGTTGACGCTCGTGGTACTCGTCCTCGTCGTGGCTGTCCTCCAAAATGTGCTGTGCAGTCCGATACTGGAACGCCTTTGTCTGCGTCCAGTGTAGATGTACGCATGCGCGCCTCCGCCTCGACGGGCGGGGAGCTTGACCCATCTCAGACTAGCGTGAGGAAGTGAGGAAGACCATCCCGAAAACCGCCCAATGTGACACCGGAGCTCACGGACACCGGAAGAGTTACCAGAAGCAAGGTGAAGAGACGAAGTACTGGAGATTTGAATACGTCGGTACTGGAAGTGACAACAACGATCAACAAGAGGAAACGAGGAAGACCGAGGAGTCAAACGAAAACGACCATGAATTCAAAGGACGTTGGAGGTGTCAACAAGCCCAACGGAAGAGAACAACGGCAAACGTCGAAGGTTACAGAGCTAAATGATCGGACATCGTCCATCAAGCGTCATTTGTCGGGAAGTGCTAATTGTCGTGAGTTGTATAGTGATGATGTCTTTTCGGTTTTAACTCGTGGAAGGTCTAAGTTACATCTTGCTGTGTTAGAAGCTCTGTATATTCGTAAACTAGATCCAGAACTATGTGTACAGAAGGAGAATGTGTTATCGTTGCAGTTGTTTGGTGTCACACCTCGTGAAAGTGTGACAAGTGCTTCTTGATGTGTTCAACGTGTTTGTCTACAACTTGCTGCTTTTGTTTTCGAGTTTTTTTTCTTTCACACTTTAGTCATTTTATCGCCTATGTTGAAGTGTTGACTTTTTCTCTATTTTTCTATATAGTTTTGTGTTTTTCCAAATTTCCAACATTCCCTGTACTATCCTGAAGAGAAGGGAAAGAAAACGTTTGATAGGAAAGAAGTGTCTACTGAATTGTGTGGATTTGCGTCGTTGCATGCGAATAATAATAATTATTATTGTTTGTAAGAAAGGTTTGCTCCCCACACCGGAGCTCGCGCTATTCCGCCGAATTTACTTGACACTTGACTGACTCACGACTGCCATCCAGAGCACACGAGAAGTCCATCGAACCTTCGACTCGGCAAACCTGCAAGAAAGCACCACTCCCTGCTCAATACACAGTGTTTCGGGGAATTCACCCCTCATCAGTTGAGCTTGAGTAGGCTGAGGAAGATTGTGCCTGAAGAGCACCACTTATATAGTGCTCTCCAGGCACAAACATCACCAGGGATACAAACTTACAGAGACGCTCCGCTTCCAGCGCGATAAACACCTCGTGAACACCAGATAGTAGCGTGAGTCAGTGTCAAGTAAATTCGGCGGAATAGCGCGAGCTCCGGTGTGGGGAGCAAACCTTTCTTACAAATCATCGCCGAAGTCGCAACCTCTACTTCGTACTGTTGTGCCCGGCGCGGGCTTGCGACTAGTTGGTTTGGAGGTGACAGCGTTGCGAATGACCGAGGGTCCTCGACGTCTGTCTCACCGTCCAGGAGCGACACTGACTCACGCTACTATCTGGTGTTCACGAGGTGTTTATCGCGCTGGAAGCGGAGCGTCTCTGTAAGTTTGTATCCCTGGTGATGTTTGTGCCTGGAGAGCACTATATAAGTGGTGCTCTTCAGGCACAATCTTCCTCAGCCTACTCAAGCTCAACTGATGAGGGGTGAATTCCCCGAAACACTGTGTATTGAGCAGGGAGTGGTGCTTTCTTGCAGGTTTGCCGAGTCGAAGGTTCGATGGACTTCTCGTGTGCTCTGGATGGCAGTCGTGAGTCAGTCAAGTGTCAAGTGAATTCGGCGGAATAGCGCGAGCTCCGGTGTGGGGAGCAAACCTTTCTTACAAATCATCGCCGAAGTCGCAACCACTACTTCGTACTGTTGTGCCCAGCGCGGGCTTGCGACTAGTTGGTTTGGAGGTGACAGCGTTGCGAATGACCGAGGGTCCTCGACGTCTGTCTCACCGTCCAGGAGCGACACTGACTCACGCTACTATCTGGTGTTCACGAGGTGTTTATCGCGCTGGAAGCGGAGCGTCTCTGTAAGTTTGTATCCCTGGTGATGTTTGTGCCTGGAGAGCACTATATAAGTGGTGCTCTTCAGGCACAATCTTCCTCAGCCTACTCAAGCTCAACTGATGAGGGGTGAATTCCCCGAAACACTGTGTATTGAGCAGGGAGTGGTGCTTTCTTGCAGGTTTGCCGAGTCGAAGGTTCGATGGACTTCTCGTGTGCTCTGGATGGCAGTCGTGAGTCAGTCAAGTGTCAAGTAAATTCGGCGGAATAGCGCGAGCTCCGGTGTGGGGAGCAAACCTTTCTTACAAATCATCGCCGAAGTCGCAACCACTACTTCGTATTATTATTATTATTATTGAAGAAGGGCTGAGGCTTCCTGCAGCTTCATCTGCGAAAAGAATTCGGGTGGACACACCCATTCCCATAGCGCTGCATATCACATCCGAACCAGTTCCGTTATTTTTACAACGTTTCGGCACTTGGCCATCGTCAGGTAATAACAATGAATACCGTGGAAGCCACACAAGAGCAGTATATACGCAGAGTCTAGCGCCAAAAAATTATCGCAAATAATGCTGAGTAATTACACGAATGCATAAAAACCAGCATTTGCTTCCGGGAAGGATTCACAAACATAAGACAAAAACACCATGGCTCAATGTAACTGAACATACGAAAAGCAGCTTCTATTGTCAAGTTCGAGTGGCAATGTCAGAAAGACGGTAGACTGTTCGTGCACGATGTTCACCCTGCAGGGGATGAGTCAAAGACGCGGCTCGGCAGAGGAAGATGAGTGCCGCGGGTTGCCATTCCACCGTGACTTATCCACTGCCAACTGCTGCAGCTGATTAAGGCCTCTAAGCGTGCCCAGGCGAATGCCGAGTCAGGCTAGGCAGTCCTGAGAAAGAGCTGAGAGGAGAGTTTACCTGGGTCGGCCCAGTCGACCGCGCAGGCTCGCGGTGGCTGAAACCTCTAACACGCGCTGTGGGAGAGAGCTCTTCTGCATTCTCAGTATGTGACCAAGGAGCTCCCAACGCCGTTGGTCAATTTCGAGCGAAATTGGTGCTGAGCCGCAGATGTCGTACAGATGCTTGTTGGTTATTGTGTTCGGGAACTTAACGCCAGCCATTGTTCTCAGATGCCTTCGATGAAAGGTGTCAATCCCTCTGGTGGTGGCATCTGTGAGACCCCATGTCGCACAGTTGTACAACAGCACTGGCTTCACATAGGTATTGTACAGCGCAACTCTAAGCAGTAGTGAGGTAGATTGATGCTTGAAGAGTGCGTACAACGAACAGAATGCCTGGGTTGCTAGGGCCTTTCTGGCTTGGACATCTTGCGCTGAGCCTAGCCGTGATCCCAGCGGCTTCGCATTTCTCCATGCTTCGGAACCACGCTCCTCCAGATCATCAGCCAGGTATATCTTTGTTCGTTCAGTTTTGGAGGTATTAACGGTGAGGTTATGGCTTGGGAGGGTCTCTGCACATGGATCATGAATGTCCTCTAGCTCTTGCTCATCAGTTCCAATGAAGTCTAGATCATCCGCATACTGCAGTTCAGGTGGTAGGATGTCGTCAGGAGGGGAGTCAGATCTGATACCTCGCAGTGCACTCTCAAAGTAGCATGTAAACAGAATCGGACTAAGACTGTCACCCTGAACTCCGCCAGTTGGCGTGATGGAAAGGCGAACCCCGCGCTCCCGCCATCCGCCCCAGTAGTATAGGGGGAGGGGGTTCTGGCTCACCTGGCGGTGAGCCAAAATCGACTTTCTCGATCGGGCCTTTGGGCCGACCTCCCAAGTCTCCCCCTCCCCTATACTACTGTATTAGAGGATAGACACTCCAAGTACTAATTTTACATCCCCGAGTACTAATTTTACACCTCCAAGTACTAATTTTACCACTCCGATCACTGATCCAATGTTGGCTCAACCCCATTCCAGAAAAGTGAGCCAACTTGCTCCCTCCGAGAAATCGGAAGTGAGCCAACTTCAGCTTTTTCACTTACCCAATATTGGCTCACTTCGAGGACTGATGTGGGATCGGTTTCTGAGCCAACTTCGGGTGGTTCAGCTTTGGATGATTCACCACCATCAATCAGTAACTCATACACATTTTCCATCTCATCGTCAACAATATATTTCCCCATCTTCTAGCTCTCGTGATATCTTTTCTGCATACTCAACTGTTTCCTGTTTTAGTTTTGCTAAGGGATGGGTCATTTCCGCATATATCTTTTCTTGTTTTTCATCAGTTTTTGTTGTGGTAATCGGTGGTCTCCATCCTGAGTTGAATGCTGCTCCCACCTCAGCAAGGGTTTCTTTTGTGGGTATGTAAGGCGTATTTTCACCTGATCATCTTTACATGATGTGGGTGGTTTCGAAAGATGTGTATTCGTCTTTCTTTCTGTGATATATTTTTTATTTGTCTGTGAAATACACCAGCAGTAATGGGGATGAGAAGAAGAAGAAGGAAAAGAGGTATATCAAGTTGTTTGATTTCCCCGATGTTGTCGATGTAATTCCCGATGTTCCCGATATAATTCCCGGTGTTCCCGATGTAATTCCCGATGTTCCCGATATAATTCCCGATGTTCCCGATGACTTCCCGATGTTCCCGGTGTTGTCGGTGTAATTCCCGATGTTCCCGGTGTTGTCGGTGGTGTCGGTGTAATTCCCGATGTTTCCGGTGTTGTCGGTGGTATCGGTGTTGTCGGTGGTGTCGGTGGTGCCGGTGTTATCGGTGGTGCACAAATCCAGAATGAATTTTCTTCCCAACATTTGTTTATTACCAACCCATTCACTTTGACACAATGAGCTAGAAAAGCAATTCCTATTGTTGTGAACCCTCTGGTTTTCTAAAGTGTCAGGAACGAACGACCCCACACGGCACGAGGACAACTATTTATTCTCAACAGTATATTTCACTTCCATCGACTAACAACAATGAACAATGAATGAATGTAATGAACAACTGAATAACACCAGCTATTTATAGCATGCAAAACAGCCTACATGCAAAACATACGCATATAAAACGGGAAATAACAGCGTATACAGCAAAACGCACACAGCGCATATAGCGTATACCATGCAGCAACATCAGCGGTACGGCGGACTCGAAAAACAACATTGCAGCGAATACAATGCCATAAGCGCGAAGGCCTTTCCCAATTGAGAACTGGTGGTTTGCAACATTCTCCCCACCAAAGGGCTTCTCACCGCCGTACAACAATGCACAAAAGTCAAAAACGACTCGGGGCTCTGACTACGCGCCCAGAACGCGTCATCTCCTGCTGCCGTGGTGGTGGTAACGGTGCTGACGGTTCATACGCTGGCTGCTGAGGGACGATAGCAGGTTGAGCGGCATCAGCAAGCCCAGGAGCCACGTCATGTGACGATACTTCTAATGACACTAACCTCTGGATCGGCCTCAACAGGGTACTGGTACTCAACTTAACCTTGGCAACACGACGCTTACCATCTCGACCAGGGAATAACTCGATGATCCGTCCCAAACGCCAGAACTGCTTGCGCTTGGTATCATCGAGAACAAAGACAACATCACCCACAGCTAAAGGGCGCGACATAGTCTGTTGGTGCTTGTTCAGCTGACCTAGGTACTCCACCTCCCAACGATTCTTGACATGCTTCAGTGTCTGACTGAGGTAACGCAATCTCACTGACATCTGCGTAGCGTCCGGGGTACCTGCTGGCTTCTCTGACGACATCCAGATGTTACCCATCATCATTGCAGGGGTTACTGGTGGCTCATCCAGGCTATCAGACACATAAGTTAGCGGACGACTATTCACCACTGCTTCAACCTCATACAAGAGGGTCTCAAGCTCCTGGACCTTCAGAAACACTGTTCCCATTACCTTTTTCAAGGCACTCTACACTGTACCAACCATTCGCTCATAGAAGTCTCCATGCCATGGTGCAGCTGGAGGATTGAACATCCATGGCACACTCAGTTTGTCAGATGCCGCCTTGAACGTTGTAGCATTGTCAGACCTGATCCGAGACGGCAAACTACGTCTCGCGACGAACTTCCGAAATGCTATCAAGAATGACTCGGTACTTGAAATATCGACCACCTCCAAGTGAACTGCTCTGGTGGTGGCACACACAAACAATGCTATCCATACCTTCGGAGATGACTCACCACGGCGCACGTACAACGGACCAGCATAATCGATGCCGGTAGTTGCGAACGGCCTCTCGTGAACAACTCGGTCTTCAGGCAGCGGCGGGATGACTTCCGAGGCAGCCTTAGCCTTGTAGCGGCGGCATGTAACACATCGCTTAGTAATGTTGCGTAGCGCTCGTCGACCACCGATAATCCAAAATTTCTTACGGATGAACGACAAGACTCCTTCTACACCTTGGTGCATCCTTTCCACATGCATTTTCTCCAACAGCAACTCGGTCAGATGATGTTTGCCTAACAGGACTGGGTGCTTGGCTCCATACGCCAACTCGCTGTGCTGAAGTCGTCCCCCGGCTCTGAGCACTCCATGCTCATCCAGAAACGGTGCAAGCTGATACACCTTCGACCCAGGCTTCACTGGTTGACCTTGCTTAATCAGCTCAAGATCCTCAATGAAACATGCGGCTTGAACGATGCGGTACAATACGTTGTCTGCTGCAAAATAGAGTTCAGCACGAGGCTCAGTGTGCTTCCACTGCAACATCCGAGTCACCATGCCCTGTGCCCTCGACCACTTACTGAATCGGAGACACAATTCCTTATCAGATTCTCGACTACAGGTGGTGGCTGACACTCGTACTTCTACACTGGACTCATCTGTAGCTGCGGTTGAGGATGCGGTGGGCCAGTCATTGGGCTCCGTGATCCAGGTTGGTTCGCCCCTCCAGAACGGACTCCGGATCTGCTGTGCACTACTCCACCGCGACGGTAAATCTGCTGGGTTGTGAAGGCCCGGGCAATGGTTCCACACAATGCCGACCTTCTTCGAAATCTCTTGGACTTGACTGACGCGGTTAGCCACAAATGTTTTCCATTTGTACGATGAATTACTGATCCAATGAACGGTAGTGAGACTGTCAGTCCAGCCATAGACTTGCGTGACGGTCACTAGCAGCTCCTTCACCACAAACTCAGCGTAGCGAGCCGCTAGACATATTGTTTGTAACTCAAGGCGGGCTAACGTGGGCGGAGACACGGGTGCCACTTTGGCCTTGGCAAATACCAAGTGCGACTGTCCATTGACGACTGCATACAAACAACATCCAAACGTTTTCTCACTGGCAACCGCGAAGGCATGAAGCGCAATCGGCGTATCAAGATTGCAGCAAATCCAACGTGGTATGTCAATGCTCACCACTTCGGCCAACTCTCCCCACCATTGCGCACATGCGGCTGCGATGCCATCAGGCAACTTATCATCCCAGTCGCCGCCGACTTTCCAGGCTTGCTGTAGCAGTATCTTTCCCGGCACAACTGCCGGTGCTGCCAGACCTAGCGGATCAAACACTGACCCAACACACTTGAGGAGGGATCGCCGGGTCCAAACAGACGGCCTATCGGACTCGCCTAGCGCTGCTGTGCTGAGCAAGTCATCACTGGTTTTCCATTTCAGACCAAGGACTTTATCCCCGGCCTCTGGATCGCACGGGATTTTGTTGCCTCGCCACTTGCGTAACTCCATGGCAGCATCTGTAAGCACACGCACGCTGAACTCTTGCATCTCCTTGGCTTCCGAGGCATTTGAGACACTAGAGACCAAATCGTCAACGTAGAAACTCGTGAGCAAGAGATCAATACGATCTCGCTCTTTGGGTGCAGACAACGCCCGTAGCTTCTTCAAGTGATGCTGAATCACCGCAGTAAGCATGTATGGCAAGCAGTTTACGCCAAATGGCAGTTTCGTTAGCCTCCAGGTTAACAGTTCATCGCTGTCGCTTCGACCGGGCCACAAGAATCGCAGGTACGGACGGTCTTCGGGATTAACCGCGACCATGAAGAAAGCCTTGCGGATGTCCGCTTGCAGCGCGCTCTTATATTCACGGAACCGTAATAGCATACCTGCGAAACTCGGCAATAGCGACGGTCCAGGGTCAACCATGTCGTTCAACGACTTGCCATCTGGAGCCATCGCCAAGGCATTGAACACCACTCTTAACTTCGTGGCCCATCAAATCTGCTCTCCTCACCTTCTACAAGAAGAACTGAGACGGCTCACATCAATTTTGACAAACAATGGATACCCCTCGTCACTACTAACAAAACTTATTAATAACAACCAATCACGCAGGATCCGAAACCATTTGGGCATACAGGTGCCCCATGGTACTCCGCTTACCCTGGGTGCGTGCTGGTTCAGCGCGCGTTGAGAAGGAGGTGCGCAGCATTGTCTGTTCGTCTTACCCGTGCGTGAAATTGTATGTAGTATTTGGAACGAAGCGTGCGTTCAGTGTGAAGAAGGACGTTCTAACTACCCTTAGTAAAAGCAATCTTATCTATTTTTTTCAGTGCCGAGAATGTAAAAATCGGTACGTAGGTAGAACTCTTCAGCACCTGGGCGCACGCATCCGTCAACACGTGCCGTTAGGTCTTGTCCCTGTTGACGCTCGCGGTACTCGTCCTCGTCGTGGCCGTCCTCCAAAATGTGCTGTTCAGTCCGATACTGGAGTGCCTTTGTCTGCGTCCAGTGTCGATGTACGCATGTGCGCCTCCGCCTCAACGGGTGGGGAGCTTGACCCATCTCAGACTAGCGTGAGGAAGCGAGGAAGACAATCCCGAAAACCGCCCAATGTGACACCGGAGCTCACGGACACCGGAAGAGTTACCAGAAGCAAGGTGATGAGACGAAGTACTGGAGATTTGAATACGTCGGTACTGGAAGTGACAACAACGATCAACAAGAGGAAACGAGGAAGACCAAGGAGTCAAACGAAAACGACCATGAATTCAAAGGACGTTGGAGGTGTCAACAAGCCCAACGGAAGAGAACAACGGCAAACGTCGAAGGTGACAGAGCTAAATGATCGGACATCGTCCATCAAGCTTCATTTGTCGGGAAGTGCTAATTGTCGTGAGTTGTATAGTGATGATGTCTTTTCGGTTTTAACTCGTGGAAGGTCTAAGTAACATCTTGCTGTATTAGAAGCTCTGTATATTCGTAAACTAGATCCAGAACTATTTGTACAGAAGGAGAATGTGTTATCGTTGCAGTTGTTTGGTGTCACAACTCGTGAAAGTGTGACAAGTGCTTCTTGATGTGTTCAACGTGTTTGTACAACTTGCTGCTTTTGTTTTCGAGTTTTTTTAACACTTAAGTCATTTTATCGCCTATGTTGAAGTGTTGACTATTTCTCTATATTTCTATATAGTTACGTGTTTTTCCAAATTTCCAACATTCCCTGTACTATCCTGAAGAGAAGGGAAAGAAAACGTTTGATAGAAAAGAAGTGTCTACTGAATTGTGTGGATTTGCGTCGTTGCATGCGAATACTTATTACGAAACTGTTTTCCCACCGCCTCCAAACTACTGTTTGAATAAATATATAATAAATAACGAGAGAGCTTGGAAGCTCAGGGCCCTGCGCTATGCTTTGTTGCCTAGCTCATCGTGCATGTTGTTAGAACTGATGGAAATGCTTTTTCCTTTGATTAGCTAAATCATTGTTTTGCAAAAACGTTTCAATGAGATACTGAAGTACAAGTAACGTCTTCTGCATAGCTATGGGACCGGCGCTGACTCTGCCGATGACGGGCGTTCTGGAGTCGACGGGATGTCTGTCCTGACGTTTCCTGGGACCGGCGCTGACTCTGCCGATCACGGGCGTTCTTCTTCTTCTTCTTCTTCTTCTTCTTCTTCTTCTTCTTCTTATTATTATTATTATTATTATTATACTGACGGCAACTAACATCCATTCTGATTGCATTTACTCGTCTCCCTACTTCGTATTTCTTTCCAGAAAATCTCCCCATAGAGCAGGGAGTCGTTTACATAATATGACTCCCTGCTTTACATCTACATGACTGTATATACGTTATAATTATTATGCTATCGGCCTACATGCGATTTCCGGGCTGGTCGACAGGCGGCCCAGCCAGCCTGCTAAAGGGATCTCGGCCTCGCACACAAATCCACACAAAATTTAATGTTACTGCACTGAATGCATTCCCCCCATACACTTCGCATATATACTCATTCTCTTGATGGTACCGTACTCTTGAAGATACGGGACAGGTACGGGATAGCGCTAGGCATGTCGATGGCACAAACAAACAAAAATATTGTGGCCAGCTGTCTTTGCTGGTACGGTACAGTACGGGATAGATACAAAATAGCGCCAGGCGTGACACAAACAAACAAACACACAAACAAACACCAAATTAAAGCTGTGTGGACCCTGGCTAGCGCCAGACGTTACTGAAGTAACGTCTTCTGCATAGCTACGGGAATAATATTATGTACATGTGTGTGTATGCGGGGTTGAGAAGACACTAATGTGTATGCACGAGGCGAAAGCTAGTGTCAGAAACGGCCGAGTTCACACTCCGGTGCCAATGCAGGAGGAATTTTGGACTGCCTCTCTGTCTCTCTCAGTCTCTCTCAGTCTCTCTCAGATTTTCTCCCACTCAATCTCTCTGTCTCTCTCGGTCTCTCTCAGTCTCTCTCATTCTCTCTCACATTTTCTCCCTCTCAATCTCTCTCTCTCTCTCTCATTCTCACTCACATTTTCTCCCTCTCAATCTCTGTCTGTCAATCGCTCTTCATCTCAGTGTATGTATGCGTGCACCTTCCCGTACAGATATCGATAGGCACATTGCTACCCCTACCTTCCTGGAAAGTGGGACCGTGTTGTCAACATTTACACTGGAAAAGGCCCACATGACAACATCATTCGTAACACCGGGTTATGCTATACACCAGACAGGCCATCCAAACACGGTTGACGTTGTTACGGCTAAGGATGTTGCTGTGAACAGCAAGATATTCATTATAGCGCTGGTATTCGATGCAGGGAGCACTTACTACACATTGAGAATCGAGCTGATTCCTCGAGATGCACCTATTGCGACACAACAGAGGATTTCAGTAAGAGTGTCTGAGCTCTTCCTTGACGGGATTTCCATAAGCACAAATCTATTCAAGCCAGCAACACTCATTCGTAACGTGAGTGTGTTGCTTAGCAACCCAGCACTTCAAAATGTAACAGTAACAGCCATGGAAAAGGATGTGAAGATGAAGTGGGAGCTACCAAGTGCTGACCTACAACTGGACAATCCGTTCGCTGTCAACGTCATTGTTGAGGATAATGCTGAAGGACTAATGTTTCCTGACAGCACAGGCATGCATAACATCACTGCCCTTCGCAATGGAGTGTCCTCATCAAATGTCACCATCTTTGTCGAAGGTGAGTTCAGAAGAACGTGATCAATTCCCAGAACACGGAAGAATGGCTCATGTTTATGCAACTTGCGGTGGCAGCTTTGATCCGATCATTACTAGACAGCGATGGCTTATGTACAAATCAATAGATCAGCCCTGCACCAAGTTTAACTGACACAGCATGCTCAGAGGGAATAGAGAGGTTTCGTTTCACGTTGTTCTGCACTCCACCGTGAAATATCACGTCGGTGTAGCAAATTTTGGCGTCGAAACTCCCGTTCATGACGTGAGCTGAGGTCAACTCACGTTCGACGTGAACGCGAGTTTTTGAAAATTTACCCTAGCTATCAGGTTGAGATTATTGACTCGATTTTGTAGATTTTGCCTTAACTAGCTATAAAAATAATATTTGTGCGACTTTGGCCTTTTGCCGGGAATCCCGACTGCATGCGTCGCGATGGAACCAAAAATCACTTTTTTCACTTTTTGAAGTTTTTGCTCCTGTCGTCAGCAAAACGACGTGCTTCACAAGCAACGTGAAACGAAAGCTCTTTCTGAGCTCGCGTCAACGCAAAAATCGACGTTCACGTAAGAGCACAAATCACGCGGGTCGAAACCTTTCTAATAACCCACATGATTGAGTGTAACAATTACCCGTGTTGTCTACGTTTGCTGCGCTTCCTCATGTACACATTCCAGCATGCGAACCACATCTCTCCTCCCCCCCCCCCCTCCCCCCTCCCCCACCCCCGCCCAAAACAATGTTTTCTGATAAACACACAATATGCATGAAACCACATGTAAATGTTGCAACACTCGATTTGGTCCACTGTTAAATGTTGCTTAAAGCTCTCCCTTTTCTCTCTCTGTCTCTGTCTCTGTCTACCTCCCTCCCTTTCTCCTTCTCTGTCTCATAGCCAGCAATCGCAAGTCATCACGTAAATTGAAAATCAACACATTTTTTGCGAATCGACCTTTTTCAGTATCACTTTTCAACGAGAACAAAGCAAAATCGGCAAAACGAAGCCTAGAGGAAGAGAATCATCCTGTCCACTTGACCATCACGATACTGACATAGGTACGAGAAGAAACAACTAGAAAATCCACATGAAAACTGTACGCCCACCGTCGCGCTGACTTTGGTCTTGCCGGTTGAGATTTCAGCTGTTACTCCTCTGACTTCACTGGCTCGGCTGTAGTACAGGCATCCATCACCCAACACCTGAACCCTCACACCACCAAAGAGGCTAGTACCGCCACTGCACCTAACTGTTACTCCTCGGATTCAATTAGCTCTGCTGTAGTACAGGCATCCAACAGCTAGCGCCTTGACAAATATTGCACACACTGCCTCCACTAGGCATCTAGCACTCAGCTTCACACAATTCTCAATCGGCAAGTTAGCCCAAAGATTACATACCAGGGGTCCCGCTAAGCCTTACAATTGTTCCCGCCTGTAACCACCTTAAATTCCCATTACGCTGTGACCAGTCTGCATTTACCATTGTCTGCCTGATGATTGCACGCGGTATAGGATTGACCCTGACAATATGAGGAACTGTGCGGGACACTTATTTCGAAGTACATGAACATGTAGAGTGCCCAGGAGTTTTTATTTTATTTTTAATAGTGGCTGTAAATACAGTCTAATGCAAATAATAACAATTGCCCATGAGTGCTCACAGTGCATAAGTAAACACAGCCCTGCACCGGGTTACCGTGACAACCTCAGACGAAACAGAAGGGAAAAAGGAATTGTTGAAATGACGTAGTATGCATATTTCTGCCTTAGATGTTCAGAATCTCCATGGCAACCATGTTAGGAAAACTCCGAAAACTTTGATGCCAAGAAGCATGTACAGTAAAAGCCTTTCAAAACGTTTTAAACACAATACGTTGTAGAGCAATTCTACATTGGATGTTTAGACAGGAGATTGCATTTCAAAGAGAATAGTATATCCCCATTGCAAGCAGGAAGGTTTGTACTACCGCAACACTACCCTAGTGTCCTTCTAATAGATTGTTTGGAAAGATGTCCTTGGGACCGTGGTAGGTAAAATTCACAATGAAAACATCAGACTTGATATCCAGCCAAATTAATCCCCAATGATACAAAATACAACGTGAGTCACGACGTTTTTGTGGTATCGAGTCTTGATGATTACCTGTCTTGTTGTCAATACGTGGTTGCTGCCTCAATAAAATTAATGCAAGTTGAAGTATCATCAGGAATTCGCAGCTAGCCAAGGGAATGCGACTTTCTCAGCGAATCCACGTAAACCCATTCCATTGCCCTGGCAGGTGAGAGCAGTTTGCAGAAATGAAGGCCGGCCACCAATGGTATTGGATTCTGCGTGGAGTACTTGGACGCCCAGGCTGTGACGAGGGCCTCTGTGCCGGACGTGTCAATCTGCAATGGCTCAATGCTCCAAATGGGGAATATACTGGTGACTTTGTCAGGAGCCATCCTCAATCGCTGGCCGTATTTGAGGAATCGCGCCTTATTTACGGCGTTCGCTTTGCCGACTGCTTGCTCGTATGCGGCTTGATTGATATCGGCGCATAGGGACGGACCGTCTGTGGTGTTGAAATCGGCTGGAGTAATACCAGCATGCTCGTAGCACCGTTGCCTGGAGTTGAACTTTACCTCCTGCTGCACGGCTGCAATCGGGGCTAGCGACTCATCAGCCACATCGCTCTCTGCATAGACATTCTCGACAACAGACGTTGTGTTCAGTGTGCAATTGATGTCGGTGGGAGTGCAGGAGTTCAATATCTTCGGCAGATAGTCGTGCGGAAACACCTCGTTGACGGGCCAGAGAATACTTCGATCGGCTACGGACGTCCGGGACGCCCCGAGGCCACACATCAAGGTCTGGGCAGTCTCTATCCAGGGACTGCGTGATGAGCAGTTTTTGTCGTCTGTTTTCGCATAACACGGCGAGTGTAGGTGGTAGAATGCCTCTGCCTCAAAGCTTTCCACGATCGGAGTGAGAACATCATCAGCATCGCGTAAGCCTTGGTCCAACAGATTTCGTGCTTTCGCAAAAATCTCCCGGAATGGCAAATGTTCGTATTCGGCTGATGATACTTGGTCACCCTCCCGCAGAACATCCTCGAATTTTAGTGCCATGAATGCCGACGATATTGACGTCACAGCGTGGGTGGCGTTGGCCTGGCTTTGCTCCGGTTTTAGGTCCAGTTCCTGTGCAATGGGTGGCGGCGGACCGGATGCAAACTGCATATGCGAAACTCCATTCAGAACAATGTGAGGAAAGCCGTAATTGATTGGTGGCGAGCCAGGATGTAATATCAGATGGTAATAGGACTCAGCGATTCGCGTTATTCGCGTGACGCCATCCATATCGCCAGCCATGGTCATCACCCCGGTTGGGAAGGTACTGTTGCGGTGTTTTCGCTGCAGATATGAGCCGAGCAGGACGACCCCCTTCAGCGGGGCGGGCAGTGGTGTGACTTTACGCTGATTCGCGACGTACTTGATGGCCCAGTCCTGCATAGGGAAACTGCCAGCACCATGACCAAAGGCGTACAGAAGTCGTGTGTCGCTCTTGTTGAATCCAAGCGCATCCAGGTCACTCAGCATGTGGCTCATGTACGAGTCAATGAGATCGCTGGTAGGAGTATCTTGGGGAAAGTCGACTAGTCCAACCCACAGGTAGAACGGCGCGTCCTGTTGAAGCTGTCTCCCTAATTCCGCGTATGCACCTGCGTCGATACCGACCTCCTGTACCAGCAGAGCCGCACAGAACGGCATTCCATGCTTGCTGGCCAATGGCGAAAGGACGGTTCCTGCTGATGCAGCGGCCGACACTCCACCAGAGCCACCATGGCCATGGGCAGGTACGGCTATCAGACTGCCTATGACGGCTAGGAGCTGCAACAAACGTCGAATCATCATTTTCATGATGTGAGACGAATCGCGCTTCCCCAGAGAGAAACCGACGGCGCAAGTGGCCCGCTCGCACTCTTGCGTGAGGGCAAGATAACAGTGATAATTGTAGGGTTTCTCCCACGACCTTGAGGAGAACGTGGACTAGACATATCACTAATAGCTGGCCAAGCGGCGGAGTGGAATGCTATTTTACCCGTTGCCGTCGCATTTCATTCATTTCGGCTGACAGGAATAATTGTTGGAGGCCTGTGCTCGGACGACGTGACTTCGGAACTCCTGGGACTCGACTGCCTGTGTGCTCTGTGTTTGTATGCTGACAGTACATTGTAGACGTGGTGTATCACTGGCCTGCTGGACGTACTTGACATGTTCTTGACGTGGCCCGCATGGCTCAGTCTACTTCCCACCTACAGATCTCGTGCATCTACCCATGATGTTTTTTGCAAGGCTGCCAGACACTGACACACAATCAGCGTGCTCCGGTGCAGATGCAATTCGGTTTGGGCGTGTTCTGCAGAAGCTTCAACTTCTGCTGTGTGTGCTGCGCATGGTTCACATAGCACGGGGATATGCTCTCCCATAGAGAAAGAAATGCAATACTGTGTGTGCTGCGCATGGGTCACATAGCACGGGGATATGCTCTCCCATAGAGAAAGAAATGCAATACTGGAACAGGCTCTTAACTTGGATAGTGAACTTATACTTTTATATTATATTATGCCCTATTAAAAATTTAATAAATAATAATAATAATAATATTATTCCAATGCTACTATTGCTAGAACAGCTTCAGTATGTAAGCAGACGAAACGTGTGTAAAACACGTAAAAATCCGTAATTTTCTCGCGAACACCACATTAAATAATCTTTGTAATGTGTTGTACGTGGTTGTTTTGTTGCATTGTACCAAGAGTATAACCCCCCCCCCCAAGAGTGTGCAACTCATGACACCCTTTCTATGGGGTTCGCCGACGGCGAAAACTCACATCACGTGGTGTAGTGCCGCAGTTGTACGTTTCCAGCCCGTTTTTAGCGAGCAGCGGAGAAATAATAAAAGCACTCTCAGACAGAAACTCACGCGCGGATGCAACTTTACTCGCCAGCTGCTTGGACTGGACCGCCAAATAAGTTTGAGAACCAAGTTCAACAAGATCCTCACGTCTCCGGTTGGTGATGGAAGCACAGTTACGTGCTCGACAGAAACAATTCTTCATTCCATCATGTCTCAAAAAAATTACACAACCCCAAAGACATGTTTTAGCTGACTGCGGCCCATTAACTAATATTTCCCTCTTTGCCAGAAGTTTTCAACTTAAATAGAGAACTCTGTGTGGGCTGGCGTGTATGTACCGCCATTTCTTCAGGTGTTTTCCTACCACAACGTCTCTGCTAAGAATGTTTCCAAATTGAAAGAATGGCTGAGGAGATATGGATTAAGACGCACCAAGACGTTACAACATGATGCCTGGGCACGAGACAAACGCAGGCACCCGATCCAGGGACGTAGCAAAGCAAACGAGATCACAGCGCATGGTGTGCAAGTATGCTGATGCCTTTTGTGCGTGGAGATCACAACTAGGGGTAAGCGGATTGTGCTCGGAAAATGACCAGATTATGCTCTACCTGATGCTCGCAACAGGATGCTGAAGAAAACAACCAATTATGCTTTTATATTCTTCACTAAAAAGACCAAAAGAACAAATAAACGTCATGAAAAAAGGACTCAGACCATTGTCATGATGTGGACTGGAAGCTTTGTGGATGTACAAGACAATAATATGCAAGAGGAATATCAAATTCACAAGCAAACGCTGAACTTTTGGGAGATGTCCTATAGTGGCTAGTAAAATAATATTATTATTCCAAATCGACAGGAAGCGCAATGTATGGGTTTTTTCGGCCTCTTTTACGGGAAAATTAACACAATGATTTAAAATGCAATAAATCATACACTGGAGAAGAAATCAGAAAAATGCATGTGTAAAATAAAGAATTTCAAACCCAAACAAAAAAACTTCAAATCATTTTTTTATAATTAAAAATACACTCAATCAATAAACTCAATAAACTCAATTCAAAAGGAGAAAAACAATAACAAAACACAAAAAAACACTGTACTAATAAGAACTAATAAGAACACCAATAACTTCATCAAGAAAAATCAAAAACGAAAAACAAACAAAAAACTTGATAAACAAATAAAAACAGTATAGAAGATCAGAAAATTACGTAACAAGGCGATGTATGGTCCTTCAATAGCAGGTGTGTATTATAACAGCCTCATTGGGCATCTGCATCCATGTTACCCTCGTGCCAGGCCACGAGTTCCCAATTAACTGTGGGTCGCAGCACGGCTGGAAAAATTCCTTCCGCTTCCAAGCAGGACTTGAACCTGGTACCCTCTGTTTCTCAATCATG